GGTGGTGGTGGTGGTGGTGGGTGGTGGTGTGCTTCGGGGGATGAGTGGTGGGGTGGGTGGTCAGGTGGGTGGTCTTGGTGAACGAGGGCACCAGAGTGACCGATCTGTTTGTGGGGCGGGAGCAGTTCGCTGAGCCCGGCTGCTGGGGGCACGGCTGCCAGGGCTCCTCCTGCGCTGACGGGTGACCTGGAAGAGAGTAGCCGAAGGAGCTGGTCAGCGGCCCACGGAGGCTTCTGTGTGCAGAGCTGCCCAAGCCCCCCTCTCCGCCCCAGACAAGCTCCCGGGGCTCTTCTGGTTTATGCCTCCCACTTTGAATTCATTCAGCTATTGGGGGGGGGAGATTTGCTCCTCTCAGGGAGGCTCCGGCCAGCCATACATAGAGTCCCGCAGGGTCCTTGCAAGAAAAGCCCCCCAGCGCACCCAAAGGAGGGTATCTTTGTCCCTTCCTCCGGAAAGTCCCAGTCCCCTCTCCCTTTGCTTGCAGCTTTGGACCCAACACCCTCCTCCCAGTTTCACGGAGGCCACCAACCTGCTGCAAGGAGGTACCAGCTGGCGAGCCACAGGACTGGCCCCACAGAGATCTTGGGGGGCTGCATTTCTCCCTCCGGAGGGCTGGGGACGTCTTCCTCACAGGGCTGAGACTCACAAGACTCTGGGGGCCTTCAGCGCGTGCTCTGGAGGTTTTGAATAAGGGGAAGGAAATGAGACTTGCTGCTTCAACAAACAGTGAGTCAGTTGGGGGGCAGAATTTCCCAATGCAGAGACCCGGAGGGGCTGGTTCCCGTCTTCCATCCTGCCCCATGGCGGGCTGGGCTGTGCAGCAGCCGCCTCAGACGGACAGCCCCGCAGCGGCCTTGAGGTCAACGCGTGCAGACCTGCGAAGGCTCAGATGGCGCCAGCCACCATCTTGAGCTGCCGGGCATCAGCCGTGGCTCTTGCCCGCCCACCGGCAGTTGTGGGGCACAAAGCGAGTGCAGCATCACTGAGTTAGGGGGCTCCCACCTTTGGAGATCAACCAGGAATGTTCTGTGTCCGGCCTGCAGCTCTCTGTCCGCCTGGTCCCCCCCTCAGAAGCCACTTCCCTTGGGGCCACCCTGGTATTGGCCCGGCGGCTCTGGTCCCCTGCCCTCCTCTGTCTCTAAGCACTGGTGCCGTCGGTGGAGGGCGCAGCTCGGCGGCCAAAGGGCAGAGGCTGCCGCATCCTGGGTGTGGGAAGCGAGGAGGCAGAAGGCTTGCGGCCACAATCCGAGTCTGCTTCGTGGAGGCTTCGGTCTTGGGAACCAGCAGTTTCCTGTTCCTCATTTTCAGACGGAGGCCTGACTCTCACGTGACGAGACAGCTGTGCCTCCTCACCAAAGCAGGTGAAGGGCCAGGCCAGACACACACAACCTCGCACCCAGCACAGCCTGGAGGCTTCTCCATGAAGGGAACAGGCGTGCGCAGTCCTGACCCAAGCAGACCCCTGGGTCTTGGGGGGAGCCCAACAGGCCAGTGGGGGAAAGAAGCATGGGCTGGGATAACCACAACGGCCTGATGCTCCAGGGATGGGGGGCTGGCTTCCCCCTCCCTGCATCAGCAGGGGAT